TGGAGGCATAAAACGAATAACAATAGCACAATCGAGCATTGGTTGTGTGTTGACTGATGCGGTCATACCTTGGATTTATCCATCTTGAAAACTCGGTCGTCTCACAACCGTGGAGGGGTGTAGCTACCTAGAAAGGGATGGGGACATGTTGCTAGTCCGTAAATTTAAGTGCATGCTATCCGAAAAGCAAGCCTGTGCCCTCGGCGGAGAAGATTGAAGCTGGCGCAACGTCAATTAATAAGAGTGAATCTCTCAAGTTGAAATGGCTGCAGGTCAAGGCGACGTGCGCTGACTAAGACGCCCAAAATGTGATTGAGGACAACTTTATAGCCAAGTGCACGCAAGAGCTTAGAACGTGGGAGCCGCTGAATGTCTTATTGTGCATTAACTAGATGGAATTTATTCTCATAATCTTTTAAAACATCTGAGGATGGGTATATAACATAGATAAGGGAACATGCTGGAAGCACTTTCAACTTCCGTCGGCATGGGTATGGAGTCGTTCATCCAGCTTGATCCATACAGGCCAGGTCTCTCGCCTGATCAACCAAGGCTCGTTGGGTGATCCTCTAGCTCGTAACAGTACTGCATCCCGTGTTTGGGTGCCTTCATTTCCACGTCTCCCGCTTAATCGATGATCAAGGCTAATTTCAGCAGCAAGTATTGATGCAACCATGGCTCTCAATAAAAGCCAAACGCCCAGCAAGACTCTCATTGTCCGAAAGGGCGCGTTCTTGGTTCCAGAATAAATGTGACTTGACATATTCGAATATCTATGCCTCCAGCAACGATCCCAGGCCCCAGAGAAGGGCACATCCGACCAGAGCAGTCGCGCCAACCACCTTCTTGGTCCACCAGTTTTCATCCGTGAGCGCCTTGGTCTTCTGGGCCTTCTTGGGTGCTTCAGTCGGTATGCTAGCGGGAGCGCTGGCGTGCTCTTTTTGAGATGCATCCTCTTCAGCCTCCCTCTTTCGTAGCACGGCAATCTTCTTGCTGAGCTCAAGCATGTCCTCTTCAAGAGTCAAGTTCTTGGTGCGGTCAACCTCCACATTCTGGACGTTGCCGAAGAAGTCGGTAATCAGGCGACTACGAGCGGCGTCGGAACCGCCGGGGAAGAGGTCATAGCGAACACCTGGGTTGGAGTGGATCTTCTCGTAGTCGTAGCTATCAAACAAGTCGCCGACGGTCTTGGCGCTGCTCAGGTCCTTGACCTGGGTCTCGAGGTATTCTAAATTGTAGTATGTGTAACGGTCGATGACAGCAACGCCGACGTCATTGTCGGCGTGGTGTGAGTAGGACGACTGGTCGAGCTCGGAGGAACCTGTGGCAATGATGTTGGGGGAGTATAGCCTGCTGTACATGGTGTTTGCCTGACAGGTGTCGATCATGAATAAGATCTCGTGGTATCTAGCAAAGGTTAGCGCGTGTGTCAGGAGGGAGGGGCAGCTCAACTGACCTCTTCTTCTCCCACATCTGCTCAAAGGCATCCGCAAGATCAAATGCACCAATCTCCTCAGCATCCTGAAACTTGAGGAATTCGTTTCCGCCATGGCCAGTCATGTACACCAATATATTGCTCCGGTCGTCGGTAAGGAGTCGCTTACTCCTGGGCATCTCGGCGCCAACGCGGTCGGTCAACAGGCGAATGAAGTTCTCAACAGTGACCTCGTAGCCACGATAATCGACCTCGATATTGTCGCCGTACAAGTCGACGGCGCGATCGGAGTTGCTGTAGACGGTGCCGGGGAAAGCGTTGCGCGGGTTGCAAGCCATGTCGTCGGGGAGCATGAGGATGATCTGGGAGTCGGGGATGCCAAGTCGCTTGACGGTGCGGTACATGGAAAGGACATTGGCGAGATGGCGATAGTTGAACCAGAAGCGCGAGGTGCATACAAGGACAGCCCAGTTGCTGGTATGCTCGGCGACAGCGACGGTTGCGAACAGGGCCGCCGCCACGAGGGCGTGGAAACGAAGGACGGAGAGGTTCATGGTGGGATGGCGCAGGGAGGAAAGAGAGGGAGCAGAAGTTCCAGGTGGGAACACAAGTTATAGCCCTGAGGGCACGGGCAACATGTCCTGTTGCGACCGTTGCGACAAGATGCTAAGGTGAGTCCCAGGAAGGGCTTACAAATCGGTACAACGGCGATGATGGAGCATGGGGAATGCAGCGGGCGTCACTGACTGAGCCACGGTAATGGACGCGCTAGATTAGCAACACATGGTCCGGAGTTGTCGGAGTCGGGCGCCCGAACGAACCCCTGGCGCTAATGGCCCCAGCACTAATGGCCCCAGCACTCCCCGTTGACCGCTGTGGCACGTGATTCGATACAATGCAGACATGACCAGCCGGAGATGAATCCCAACGACGCCTAGGTACTTTACGAACTATGGTTGTATAACATAAAAGGCTTTTCAGAACCAATCTTTCTCTTCTTCTTGGTAGTACCCATTAGTAAGCACTCATCTTCCTCTCCAACCACCTAGACTACCTCAGGCTCGTCTTCCACTTCGTCATACTGCCACCACTCCACACCGTCCCTATCAATAACCATAAGATCTCCAATCTTTTCGAAAGCAGCATTGAGGGCTTCGGCATCGACATATCGGGCCACACAACATTCCTGGCAGAAAAAGACGGTCATTGGGTTGTCAAAGCGACAAAACCACGTCAGGGTTCGATCGAGCGGCTGGTTGCAACGCCAGTTGACGTGGTCCGCCCGAATGACCGTGGTCAGCTCAATCATGTTGTGTTAAATTTGCTTGATTTGTAAATGCAAAGGATACTGGTCGGGTTGATCTTGAAAATATGGAATTTGCTAAATGTCATTATTGTTAATGTGGAAGCGGAGTGTCAAATAAATAGTACAGAGCGCAGCATTGGGACATTATTATATGTCAGACTGTAACTGATTCACGAAGATAACCTCATATCATGTGAGTGTCAAAGGGACATTCACGGTTCGTCTACAGATGCTACCGATTTTTATTGGTGACAATGACTGGCAAACCCTTGTGGGTATTAGATCACCAGCTTAAGAGGATAACGTGGCCCCGGCACGACACGCCTTCCTAAGGGTACTCACCTCCCTAACCTCCCGCATTAACGCCACTGTGTTCTTTCAAACATGACGCGAGTTGCTTATAAATCACAAAAGGGGCCATTCTGTCGTAAATCGCATCATCTTACCCTACAGCGTAAGTTGCAAATGCGAGCGCTCAGGGCGCCTAGGCGCGAAGTGTCTTTTGTCACCTTCAAGTTCAACGGCTTATCACTGCTGGTAATCAACTCGCTGTACTGATCACCACTAGCTAAGGGCAATCATAGGAAACGGCTATATGTGCCACTTCGTTATTTGGTGGTAGGCCTCTGGCACCATCAAGGAGTTGCACGACTGACATAGGATGAACACAAGGCAGAGTAGTGTGGAGGCAAGAAGTTGTTCAAACCCACGCACACAGTCACCGATATTTAGACCGCAACTGGAACCATGAGGTCGGATGGTAGTTAAACCGCCAAAGACATGAGAACCACAGACCTGCCCATTACTCTGTCAAGTTTGTGTCAAGACAGGAGCTGGAGGCATGAGCAATAACAGAAGTATTCCAATTTCATCTTTCTATGTTTCAATCGAATTGTTGAAAGATCTTGGGTAATGAAGGTGCGGTTTCAAAATATATAGAGAAGTATTCGAGGTTGGAGGACTACGGTCTGATAAAAATACCGGCATGTAAGTTTCTCGGCTTACATTGTGTGCACAGACACGAGCGTGCTTTGGGTTGATACAATTGTCAAGAGGAAGGTTCAACCACCAGTTGGTCCAAAAAGCATAGCGGTAGAGAGCCAATAACTACGCTCTCTTCTAAACATCTCCAATAATTATGACGGCATAATACAGACGATACAGGGGAGACAAGCGACGATGATGTGTTGAGGTGACTTAGACGGGCACTTACCCGGTGCCGACCGAAGTCACATGACAAACCCCGCCAGCAAACCCCGCCGCAACATAATCTCCACCCCAACTGAGCAACAGCCATGCCCACAATATAGACCACAAATTCGAGCCATTTAATCATCGGAACAACACGGTCGCGTGGCCCAATGGGTAAGAATCACCATCCAACTACTAGAGTTTAACTCAGTAACTAACAATCAATCTAGCAAGGCGTCTGACTACGAATCAGGAGATCGTGGGTTCGAGCCCCACCGTGACCTTATCTTTTTGCCTCTTCCGCCGGTTGCTTGACTCTGACAATATGGACTGCAAAATCGAGCGAACTCGTCATCAGAACAACACGGTCGCGTGGCCCAATGGGTAAGCAAATTCACTCTTCAACATCTCAGAGCAATAACTAACAATCAATTCAGCAAGGCGTCTGACTACGAATCAGGAGATCGTGGGTTCGAGCCCCACCGTGACCTCTCTTTTTGCTCTATCCAGAGTTTGTGGGATGTCCACTGTGGTGTCTCTTTTTTCTTCAACCCACATGCAGGTCTCACAACATAACATGAAAATTCGACGCCAACGTCCAACCAATGACATGGTCGCGTGGCCCAATGGGTAAGTAACGTCTTCAACTACCTACCATCACACTTGACTAATAAACAATACAGCAAGGCGTCTGACTACGAATCAGGAGATTGTGGGTTCGATCCCCACCGTGACCTCTCTTTTTGCTTCACCAAGATGTTGTGGGATCTCCACTGTGGTGTCTCTTTTTTCTCCATTTCGGTTGCCCTGTCGCCTCACAATACAGAATGAAATTTCGACGCCATCGTCCAACCAATGATAGGTCGCGTGGCCCAATGGGTAAGCAACATCCTCAATCACCTTCCATCGAACACTCAACTAACAACCACTTCAGCAAGGCGTCTGACTACGAATCAGGAGATTGTGGGTTCGATCCCCACCGTGACCTTTTCTTTTTGCTCTTGTCTATACCAGTGAAGCCTCACGATGTAAGTTGAGTTTCCCAGCCGGTTGTCCATCAAATACCACGGTCGCGTGGCCCAATGGGTAAGCATCACCACGACATATCACGACCGAGGTCCATAGCTAACAACAATACAGCAAGGCGTCTGACTACGAATCAGGAGATTGTGGGTTCGATCCCCACCGTGACCTCTTATTTTTGCCATTCCTCACAACAGGGACTGCTGACGATGTAAGTTGACTTGTCGAGGCCGTCGTCCATCAACAAGGTCGCGTGGCCCAATGGGTAAGCAACTTCAGCATTCATCATCTCAGTGCAATAACTAACAATCACTACAGCAAGGCGTCTGACTACGAATCAGGAGATTGTGGGTTCGATCCCCACCGTGACCTACTCATTCTTTTTGCCTCTTGACACATACTTTATGCCGTTTGATAATTGATGTGGAGGAGAACTGGGGCTGAATGGTAAGACGGCTGACGTAGTAGTGTAGAGTTGTTAGTGACCATAATGAGTTGTAGCCAATGAATGCCTATGACGTAGTTGACGGATTGTACATGTTTGTAGGCCTGTGTACGATTACCAAGATAACACGGACAAAATGGCAGTAATTAGAGTATGAAGCATACCACGGCGCCTCTCATTTCTGGTGGTGCAGTACTTGCCATTCCCTGGGCTCTTTGGCGGCGGCGGCTAGCGCTGATGGTGGATGAAGAAAATTTCCCAACGGCTCACTAAAGAACCTCACCTTTGCCATCACGACAGAACCGCAATAGCGTCGGCCAACAGCGGCCAACAGCAATTACAATACCTTGGCCGCGCACTCGCGCAACTCGTGCACGATTGCGAAAAGCCGCTTGTCTCACTCTAGCCGCGCCGCCCTGGCACGATCCCAGTCTAATACTCGCCGTCATCGTCATCGCTGCTGGGCCCCTCGCCGAATCAGACTATCGCTACCCCCAGGCCGAGACGGCCGCACGCCACCGCCGGTCCAACCCAGGTCAGATCCTGCGCCCGGAGTCGTTGACGGCCTAACTAAAGTACGAGGTACGGTACAGAATCGACGCCTCAACCTCACACCGACGCCCCGGCCGGCGAGATATACTTGATACGCGCATGCAGGGCGGCACCTGGTCACACACAGCCCGTGTCGTCGGCGTCGAATAGCCGTGACGGAAGCGGTCGACAGCCGTGGCCTCGCCCCACACAACCTCGTCCAACCGTCCAACGTCGCCTCTCAGAGTCCCAGCCAGGTTCCCAATCCCGGCCCGCGTCCGCGTCCACGTCCAGCCTCCAGCCTCCAGGCCCTCTCGCCCGTTGACCGAGTGTGCGAGTGTGCGAGTGTCTGAGCGCGTCTGGCGCCCAGTCCGATACTGACCCAGTCGCCCGTCGCATCGCCCGTCGCCTATCGCCCATCACCCGTCTCGCGCGCCATCCGTGGCCTGCCAGCACGCCCTCAACGCCCTACCGCCCTGTCGCTACCGCTGCCGCCGCCGTCCAAGCGCAGCGCTGCCGCCATGTACTCCGCCGGCTATGGCTTTGCCAACAATGGTGCTCCCTCCTTCAACAACGCCGCCCCACAGCAGCCTGGAGCCCAGCCGACCGGCCAGCAGGTCATGTACAACCAGCAGCAACAGTTTGCCGGCATGGCTCCCCAGGGGGCCTTTGCTCCTGGCGCGAACCCTCAGATGATGCCTGGCGGCCCTGCCGGAATGATGCCAAACGCCGCCATGCCACACATGGCGGCCAATGGTCAGAGTGAGTCGCCCTCGTGTGCCCTGGTTCGATCTATCCCGGCGCGCCTCAACGCGCCCAGGTCTGCGCTGTGCTATTACATCGATTCTGCCATGCGGTTTCTTGATCGGCAGCCGTTACCTTTCTTACGAGAGAAGGTCCGGCGCGGAGCGCGTCATGGAACAGACGCGCGGCCGCTCTGCGCCAAACACCATTGCCATGTCCCTTTGCGAATATGACGGCTGACTCTTTGATGACAGTGGCAGGATACCAGCAACAATTCCCTGGCTCGCCTTACGGGCAAGTCGTTTCCTCATCGGTCGGCCCACAGGGCTTCGCTCCCAACTACATGATGGCCGCTGGCATGCAAGGCTTCCCGATGAACCAAGCGGGAATGCCTCAGCAACCTCAGATGATGCAACGTATGCCTCAGCAGTCGCAACAACAACCGCAACAACCTCAAAACCCAGCGGCGATGGGCCAAGTCGGAACCCCTCAACGACCTCCGAGCGCCGCCCAGGGTACGCCCAACAACGCCGTGCCTTCGCAACCTGGACAGTTCTCGACGCCGCAACCCCCTTCACAAGGCCAGACTCCGACGAACCAACAGCCACCGTCTGCTGGGATATCGACGCCGCAAACCCCGACCTTCTCCGCGAACCAGGGAGTGGTCACGAATGGAGGCTCAGCTGTGGTAACCCCTCTGAGCCCAGGGACGGAGTCACGAGACAAGGAGCGCTTTGCGCTTCTACTGGACATCAACCACGAATTGCTGTACGAGTCGATTCAGATCCAGGCCACACAACAAGAGTTGAAAAAGGAACATGCGGATGCCAACGGAGGAGACAAGAAACCAACAGAGGAAGAAACCTTGTTTCAACAAGACTATCTCCAGTATGTCCATCCCAACGCAAGCTACAGAGCGACACTAACAGCCGTAGATGCATGAGGCGGTTACAGGCCAATCTTTCATACATGGCAGCCTTGGCAGACAGGAAGCCCGAGGTTAAGGTGCCTCCTTGCCCAGCGTATCTCAGCGCACCTCCACTCAACCTCTCACTCAAGCTCCGGGCTATGGCTGCCTCCCCCGATGCCCCGGAGAGCAAGGTCGACCCGGTGGCTGACAGAGAGGACCGTGATAAGAGCATCAAGGATCTGTACATGAGGTTACAGGCCGTGTTCCCTGGATTCGACCCCAAGAAAGAACCGCTCTACCGTATGCCACCACAGACAGGCGGACCTCAAGGCCAGAAACCTGGCAACCCGGGGATGAGCCAGGCTAGCCCGACAGGCCATAAGACACCTCAAATGACAAACATGCCAGCGCCGCCGATGCACCACCCTGGTATGCCCTCATAGTGGATCTGGATCTTCATCTTTCTCTTCATGTCAAGGGTTGAGGCCGTGTGTATATATGATGAGACGGTTCATAGACGCCGCGATTCCGGGAGCTGGACGAGTGGGACATAACAGGCATTACGGGCATTACGGGTGTCTGGGAGGTGTTGGTCTGCATGAGCCATGTTTCGAAAAGAGAGCATCTGTGTCAGCCAAGCCCCAGTGTTGGAATCTGGGACTAGTGCACCAATTCCAGAGAAGTGGATGGAGTCTGAGGGGCGAGGCCAGGGGGACGTGCTGTTTGGATACAAGAGAATGGGAAAAGGGCGCTGCAGATGGTTACTATTCACTATCGTGGATTGGTTGAGCGGCGTTTACGGGAGCGACATTTGGTAGCAGTCATGACTAAACAAAACCGAACAAAACAAACAATTGCCATGTTGTAATACCTCGGTACATACTCTCTTGGAGGTACATTGTACTGTGTGTAGGGCTCTGTGTGTCTGTATGCAATGTAGGTGACTCGCAACGCAGGGACACGCGGGGAGACGCAGACGGCTAGCTCGCGTGACATGGCAATATAATTAATTCCCTCGGATGCCACTATGCCTCTGCACCGAGTGCATGTACCTTTCTCCGCCTTGGTCTTTATGCGGTACTATATCTCGGATGGTGCTTGTTGAGAGCGTCAATGGAGGAGCGGTTATTGGCCGACACCTTCAGGTTGCCCACAAGAGTAAAAAAAAACTAAAAAAACTTCTGCATCGCGCAGCGTTGGATGGGGAGCGGGTTTTTAGTTGGTACGACTACTGTAGACTAGGTGGCTAACGGGAGAGAGAAATGGATCCATTCCGGTCGAGGATTGGGGCTGGCGGCAGGCTTTGCACGGGTTGTCGATGGCTTGCCTGAATTGCAATGTACCGCAGCCCAGACCTGTCACCTCAGGCCATGCCGAATGAAGAATGAGGCCTGTGATTTGGACGGGAATCTGACATACAGATGTGGCCTGCCGAAGGGTTCACTCGTGCGTGTGTGCGTGAGTGTGTCCGCCCGTGGTTGTACTAATACGGTCGTGTTAGAGAGACGCCACAGGAAGATGCTACGGCTTGCATCTCACAGTTCTCACCATCGCACTGAATCCTGCTGTCAGCTCTGCCTCTCTGCTGTCGAGTCTTAGCAAGAAGCTCCTACTCTTACCATCCCAGCCCCCCCACGCTCGTCTGCCGCTTATGCCTCTGGCGAACATCTCCCGCCACCGCCATGACATCCCTTTTGGTCTCGGTGGCCAAGACTATGACCCCGGCCCTGGCCCTGACCGCCGATCTCGTCGTCCACCCACCCCTCCAGCACACAAGCACACAGAGTCAGCAGCCCGCCCTCCCTTCGGCGTACGACGTCGCACCGTCGTCGGCATGCATGTACGTATGTACCTACCGGCCTCGTACCGCTGCCAGATCATGGAAGCCGTGGAGAGGTTCGACCAGGGCGTTGGCGGGGCACGTTAGTGCCCTGCAAGAGTCCCCTGAACCGCTCGGATTGGGTGCGCCCGGGCGAGCCTCCCAGCCATTGGCCAATGGCGGCGCCCTGTAGACAGTACTAATAGCGGCGGGGGATCACCCTGGTAGGTACCTGTACGCAGTAGGCTGAGAAAAAAAAAAAAAAGTCGAGGGCCGCATCCGTCGACGTCTTGGTCTTCTTCCATCTCTTCCTCCTCCAAACACCCGCCTTCCTCCCAAACATCCCTTCTCCTCAATTGCTGTTGAGGCAGATGATTGCGAGGTAGCTTCTGACCAGACCAGGGGAGCTCTGAGAACGAGTTTTCTTGCCGGCCGTCGCTCGCAAACCTCTGCCCTCTTCGCAACGCCAACACCTACCCTTGTCTTCTGCCCCGCGTTGCGTCTTCGGACCTCGTGCCCGTGTGCAGAAGCTTCACCCTCCTCCCTTCACAATGTCCGCCGTCACTATGGCGCCGGCGTCGGCTCGCCTCGTGGGCTCCGACGACGATGGCCTCGTCTGCCTTGAGCTCCAGGATGGCTCCACCTACCAAGGTTACAGCTTTGGTGCCCAGAAGAGCATTGCTGGAGAGCTGGTCTTCCAGACGGGTATGGTGGGGTATCCC